GTTTACAGTATCTGCCAAGTGAGCACAACGCTGACAGTTTTATGAATAGACAGGTTTGGTTTTGTTCTTCTGGTTCTAAAATTAAATTTGAATCTAACAAATATATGACACAAAAACTGGAAAAACAGAAACACTTTAATGAGGTCTTAAAATATAATAATATAAACAGTACAAAGAATTAAGGTTCACAACAAAAATAGCGTCTTTGAAGGCAGATCTGATATTCAGACACTGAAGGCATTTCAATGACAAATTCTTTATTGTCCATCATCTCTTGGTTTGGTCCTCATCCAGGTACACCTTATTTGATTTTAGACCCAAAGCTATCATCATGGCACCATCAAAATAAATAAAAATATAAAACTAAGTGTACAAATATAGTCGACACGGTTTCATACACCAATTGTCAGTGCGAGCCTCTGCTTAAAAATCTATTGCTGCAATATTATTATTATGTTTTAATTAAACAGGCAGCTATTACATTATCAATATAGCAACCACATAGCAGAAAACATCATTCATTTTTATGTTATTCTCATTCTGCACAAAAATCCAGAAAATACTGTTCATTCAGATGGTGAGAAATCCGAGCAGTGCATTTCAGCTGCACACCAGTTTTCCCAGAGTTAAAGCTGGAAGAAGGTCGACAGGCGTCATTCTGCACTGGTCCTATTTTAAAAAGACAATAAAAAGACATTAAACAGCACGAAGAGTCAGGCTGGTGGCTCTGAAGCGGTGAAGTTATTCCTCAGCTGTTTGCTGTGTTAGTTTGCTGTGTCAGTTTAGCACAAAAAGCTACAGGCTGGAAGGAATGTCATTAGTTTTACTTGATAAAATGACATTTTAATGGAACAGAGGAAGAGTCAGGGGATCAATAAAGTTATTAGGCTTCATCCTCTGGAGGAGATCTGGATGAATTCATCCCATATATGGTTTCTCTTTGTAAAAGCTTTTTAATTCATATATATTTGACCTTTCCTCTGGGTTCATGTGGCTTTATCTTCTCTGCCTCATCTCATTTTATTCCTATTTTCTGTGAAGCAAAGAGCTATATAAATAACATTCATCATTATTAGTTACTAACAGTTTTTGAGACATTTCAGTCTGACCCAAAGTGGTAGATCCTTGGACCCACGTGTGGCTAAAAACCTCAGTTCCTTCAAAAACTTATCTGGAAAATCTTCAACCTCTCTGTGGCTCCTCTTGACCACAGCTAGCATCTCTTTGAATCTCTATCTCTTTCTGGCCTCGTCTATTGTTCTGTTTTTTTCCTCTCACCTGAACAGGATCAACATAAAATGCTAAAGGAGAAGAGAGGAGTGCCACAGAGAGGAGATAGAGAAGAGAAAAGTGGTCAAACAGGGGCTGAAACTGATGAGTTTGACGAAGCTGGTCTGATTCTCACTTTAACAACAAATCAGCAGAAGAGTCATGACTGGATTTATC